TTTTTGCAGTACCAGGCATTGAACTCAGGACCCTACACTTGCCAGACAAGCACTTACTTTACTGAGCTATCTCCCCGGGCCCACATGTTTAATTTATATAATGTAATAACAGAGGTTAGAAAAATAATCTCCAGATAAAGTATGGGGAATCATAGGAAGAAAGCTCATTTCATGTAAACCTAATTTTCAAGTCCATTTGTCAACCACGACAACATATTTTAGAAGATATAAAAATCCTGATTTTAAGTGCTAGGCATATAAACTTTCCTACTTAGGTTAGGAGTTATAATCTGATTTTTACAAGCCTCATTTCATATTTTATTTCCATTTTCAGTGTTTTTCCCCTTTCCCTTTTCATGTCCAGAAACCACTAAGCCATTTAAGTACTGTGGAATGCTTACAATTCTCGCTATCCCATGGAGATAGATTATTTTCAATGGAACTATTGCCTTCTCTGTGAAGTTAATCAGGAGACAAAGCTTTAAGGTCATGCATTTCCTCTCTACCCACCCATGACTCAGTGCTAGAAACGCATCAAATACTGACCAGAGCACCTCTAGTCCCTCTGGCACCCTTAGGACCACTTTCCCCAGTTTGCCCAGGAGGACCTCTGCTTCCAGTTTCTCCTGTGGGTCCTATTTGTCCTTTATCACCCTGCAATGACAGAAGTAGGAGAGAAAGGCAGGGAAAATTTATACTTGCTGAATTACTTCAGGGGATACTCAGTAAGCAAAATCTGTAAATAGTAACTTTGCTTTAAGTTAACACTGTTGTAAACTACCACTAACAGCAACACATGATCATCACACACATTGTTTGAAAAACAAAGATAATTTTGGAAAAAGAAAACTACAGAGATAATTTTGACCAACCAAATAAGTGATGGCTACTACTGTTCATGGTGAATTTCAAAAAAACAACTTTTACTCTGAATTTTGTTATCACTGTACGCATACATATCCAGTTGTTTGCATGAGCAGTCTGCTTCTATAGAGAATTGCAGCGTTACAAAGTGCAAAAAAAAAATTCTGTGCTTACTTCTGTGCATTTAGGATCATCACTTATCAGTTTAGAGGAGGACTTCAAAAATCCATAGCCTTGAAATATCATTTTATGTCCTTCTGAAAACTGGTCATCTTCTGTTCTTGTTACACTGATTGGCCCTGCTTCAGTGTCAATATACAGCTGTTTTATAGATTGTTCTTTCTTCTTTTTTGGCAGGCTCAGCCTTCTTTTCAGGTGGGGCTGGTGCCGCATGAGGTGCTGGGGATCAAACCGCGGTCCCATGTGTCTGCCTTAAGCTTGCCTACGCAGGGTCTTAGACCACTGAGCTATCTTGCTGGCCCCCTAAAATTTTTTTTTTTAAATGGGACTTTTTTTTTTTTTTAAATGTATTTAGTACAGGGTCTGCAGGGTCTCACTATGTAGATTGGACTTGTAGTGAGCCTCCTGTTTTCAGCTTCTCAAGCGCTGGGATTACAGGCACACGCCACCATGTCCAGTCTCAGTCATTGTCTCTGCGCACCCTGGAGACAGGGCACACCGGGGTTGAACCTCAGCTGCTCCACTCTGCCTAAGCAGGCACTTTAGTGCTTTAGACCCTGAGCTATCTGGCCGGCCCTAATTTTATATATATATATAAAAGAGAAGAACAGAAGGGAATCCAAGTGGGTTGCCCACCATTTTCTTAAAGTGGGAAATAACTTGTCCTATTATCAATACTGCAGAAAACACAAAAGCAAAGCTAAACTGTGGCCACAGTCAGGACATTTTTGGTATTCCTAGAGGTTTATAGGCTTTATTTCACCTTCTGAGGATTATAGAATGTTGAAAAGATGTTTACCCTTATGCTTCGGGTTTAAAATGCATTTTATGATGAATTTTCTGTTTTATGTGTGTATAATATATGTATTTATGCAGGGCTGGGGATTGAGTCCAGGGTCCTGCACATGCCATGCATGTAAGTGCTCTCCTCCTGAGCTGTACTCCTGTCATATTAGTTGTAGATGTTACATATTACTGTGTATAATGAAAATACTGGGATTATTTTAGTGGGTGTGATTAGCAACTCGGTTACTTCATTCCCTTCTTTTTAAAATACTGTCCAAAAGTTCTGAGAATTAGAAGTGCAACTACAGAAATACAAGAATTAGATTATGGAAACTAGAATATTGTCAAATTAGAATTATACTATAAACTGTTACAGTTCAATGCAAAAACTGCCCTATGCTTCAGTAATATTTGAACAAACTATTGTTTCCATGGGAAGATGAAGTTTTCTTTATGTTTACTAGAAATTTGTATCATTTTTATTTTTTATTTTATTTATTTATTTATTTATTTTCAGAACCAGGGATTGAACTCAGGCCCTTGCGCTTGCCAGGGAAGCGCTTATTCTACTGAGCCATCTCCCCGGCCCCTGTATCATTTTTAGTAAAATACAAAGTAAGCAAGTGACCCCAGAGTCTGTATTTAGGGTTCTCATTGTATGCAAAAGATAAAATCAGTTATTAATATTTTCAAGTAAAAAATCACATTAATAATAGAAACAGGAATAATTATAACACAATCTTTTCCCTTAGATATTTTACTGAACTTATCAAATAGCATAAGTGCTATAGTATTTTCATTTTATCTTTTTCTTACCCATTATCTACTAAAGGGATTTTTGATAAACAAGTGATAAACGAAAAGCAAAGAGTTTCTGCAAACTACACACTGGGAAACAGACTGGGCTTGGTGGCACATGCCTGTAACCCCAGTGCTAGGGAGGCTGAAGACAGAAGGATCACCATGAGTCTGAGCTGTGTAGTGAGACCCTGCACCAGATACATAAAAGACAAACAAAATATGAAAAACCACAAACTGGAAAATTGTCCCTTTTGATCAGTAAGGTGACATTCATTCCTAACTAGAATTAAATATCAATTTGCAAATGTATCTTTGAAAGTTAAATTTTGAATCTCTATTACTTATCACTTAGAACGTTATAGTTTTCTACGGAACTCTGGACATGGAGAAAGAAAGGGAGCAGAAAAAGATGTGCAAAAAGTACCTTCTTTCCTGGACGGCCTCTTAGTCCTGGAATTCCCAAAATTCCTTCTGCTCCCTGCATAGTCAGTATAAAAAAGGAGAAATAAATAGTTAAAAAACAACGAGATGTTTAAATATTTATACTGGATCATCATTTAACTGAACATTAAATAAAAATGAGAGTAACTTTTCAAAAGTATCATGTTCTTTTAACTATTTAAGAAGAGGTCATGGTGATTTGGAAGTGTAACTGTTATCAGTTATAAAGGTCACCCACAGAAACAGCAAAATAGAAAAATTAAGCTACTCTTTGGGAAGAGAATCATTTAACTTTAGGATCAGATTTTAATTAATGGGAATGTAATTAAAGCAAATTGAAATGCATCCTTAGCACTTTTATGAGCTCTAGTAAGCTCAGTATGCTGGTGAAAAAATAAGATTATAAAGTATATCTAATACGTAGTCAAGGAAGATCTCAGAATCTCATTGAAGTAGAGAAGATTAAAGAGAAATTCTTTGACCTGTGTGAAAAAAGGGAGGCATTCATGTTAAACTTTTGAAAATAATATTTTCATTTCAACTGCTTTTTTCAGCCAAAATTAGCTTCAAAGTTTTCAATATATGCTGTTTTTCACAAAGAGTGGGATGCCAAATAAATTTCCAGATCAACAACAGGCTTTTAAGTGTGATCCATAGTAAGACAGGTTACAAGTTCTAAAATGACTAGTAATTCATCACAACATTCCTTTTATTAGTTGGAAATGAAGATGGAAATTTCAAATTTGCATCCCCAAAGCTTGGCGAACTATAACAAAGTTTGACAAACTGCAAAACTCATGTAGACAAGAAATAAATTGTGGTTTACCACTGTGCTGTGCAGGCTCTTGATAAATATTTGTTGAATGAATAAACAGATACCTAAGAAAATGACTCATGCCCTAGCATAAGAGCAAATGGTCTCCTAACCCCAGAAGTCCCTAAATAGAGGGGCCAAAGCAGTTAAGCCCAGTTGCTGTATTTATAGCTGCATCCACAGGTAGAAATGATAACTGCACTTTTAAGAGGAGTTCTTTGCAGAAGAAAAGGCCTTTAATAAGGCCTTTTAAAAGGAGGCTGATCAGCCTTCAATGAGTGAGTTTTCCAAAGCTAGACTACTCCAGAAGCTCCATATTCTGCTTCTGGTACTTACTAGCCATTTGGCTTTGACAGAACTCTTAACTTGTAAAGGCCTGGGTTTCCTTTCTAAGTAGAAGGGGGTCTAATAAAACCTTTCAAAATTGTTACTAACCTTAAAGGAGATAATG